CGTACCTAAAAATATTCTAAAAAATCTAAAATCAATGTTAAAAACTTTTTTCGGCCAATTTCAAAACTCTGGCACGGTGGCACCACCGTACTCCAACGACGGCACCGCCACCCGTGGTGGTGGTTTGCCTCAACCTGGCGGTTTTTGGCCAGTTTTGGTTGGTTTCGACGGTTTTATACCCAACCTTATGAGAAAACACGTTAGTGGGCATCGGTTGGTTGAAAAAAGTCAAAAGATAGAAACCTACCAGTGGCGAAATTTTCTAGTGCAGCGGCTCCGTTGGCTCACCTTCGCGGCTGAGTATTTTTCTTCGGTTAACCTGTAAAAAACAGAACGGTAAACATAATAAAGGAAAAATCGCACGAAACAGAAAACAGAAAAGGGCTCATCGAAGGCGTTTGCAGGTTTTGCTCGCAGTTTCTGGCTCATCCATTGTTCCTTTTGCTCTGATTTGGCCATGGGGTTGCTCGGAATCAAATGCCGAGCGGATAGGAGAATTTTTATCTTTTTTGGCGGTTAGAGGTGGCTCCAGCGCGGCGGCGGGCGGCGGTCGGCTGCCTTCTCTGGCAAGTGGTTCTTCTTCTCCGACCGGAGGTTGACGGTTAGGATTTTGATTCGGTGTGATGTAAAATATTTATACCCATCTCGCGTTAATCTGGACTGTTTATCGCGTTTGATCTCAATCGTCCGATCGCATTTAAAGAGAAAATGAATCTGAACCGTTTATCATTATTTGATCTCGATCATTCAATCGCGTTTAAAAATGGAACAAATCTAGACCGTTCATTGCATTTAATCTCGACCATCCGATCGCGCCTGAGAAGAGAACGGATTCGGATCATCCATATGCGCGGGAACGCTTCCGGATCGTCCGATAGTGGGGTACGCGAATCACTAGTGTGGCCTCTCGCGTGGCATCGAGTCAGCATGCCTTGCCACGCGGTGCGCTCCGGTTCGTCGTGACTGTTGACTGGGCAGTTCTATATGGCGCAATTTTTATTATTTGTATTTTGACCCTAATTTCTAATTTTTCTTTCAAAAATACTATCCGAACTCAAATTTTCACATCTTTTTTCCAAAATTATTTTCAATTTCATTTTCAATTTATTTTTTTCATAATTTCACATTAAATTAAAATTTATTAATTTTTAAAATAGATTTTTATATATTTTTTTATGTTAAAATTAATCTCGACCTAAATTTCAAGTCTGGGTATTACTTTCTGAGTTTGCAGTAGTAATGAGAGAACCATCTGCATGAATAATCTTTTGATTACTCAAATCGAGAATATATGCATAAAAATATTTAGAATTATTACTCATATAATATATTACTCCTGAGTCTATAATCTAAAAATTCTCAAAGAATTTATCTAAAACATTTAGTTCATGTGAAGTAGAAGTCATTCATGAATGTGTTGAGAATCAATAACTATTTATTTCTCC